TTTTTTTTTTTTTTTTTAGCAACATTTAGCGTGTACTAGTTTTGTTTCTTTTGAAAACAAACTATCTTTGTTTTGATGTAACACTTTAAGGGGATGTTGCCAGGATGGTGACTATCACAAATCTGCGCACACATTCACTCATAGTTCTGTTTTTTTCAGCCTCGTAAATCACTAAATTGCTTCCCTTTCCGGACCATAAACTAAAATTATTTTTCTGACCCCTCTTTGTCCCTTGCCCTGTAGCTTTCAGTTGTCATGGCTAGAAGGTGCCTCATCCGTTAGTTCTGCATTGCAATCATTTGCAAGGTCTGGAGATCCAGAGCTGTTGACTACAACCAGCTCTGATCCGAGACACCTGCAGCTTGTCTGTCCTCATGTATGCCATGTCTTCCTTTAGCCAGTTAGGAGAGTCCCCAATAATGGTGGGCTTAGACCTCGTGTGCTGTCATGTTGTATTAGTTAGAAGCAAGGTGGTTTAAAAACGGCCTCATATTTACTTTTGTCTTCTCTTGTTTGATACTGGGGATTGAATCAGGATGTTGGACTTGCTAGGCAAGCACTTTGCCACTGAGCTACAGTCCAGCCCTGGTCTCATATTTAATGGGAATGGAGTTCTAGAAAAGTCAACATTCCCTCAGTGAGATTTGTTTAATAAGCATCTTTTTCCTCTGGTTTTTAAGTATACTCTTAACATCCCAGATGAAGTCTTCTAAAAGGTGATGGAAATAATTGTAATATTTATTTATGAATTATTCATAGGGAAAACTTTGAACCTGAAACATCAGTGGTATGATGAAGACTTCATTTTTATTGTCTTGTCCTGGGGCTTGAACTCAGGGATTGGGCATTGCCCCTGAGACTTTTTGCTCAAGGCTAGCACTCTAGCTCCACTTCCAGCTCCTTGGTAGTTAATTAGAGATGACAGTCTTACCAACTTTCTGGGCTGGTTTTGAACCATGATCCTCAGCTCAGCCTCCTGAGTAGCTAGGATCACAGCTGTGGGCCACCAGTGCTAAGCTTTTTGCTTAAGTTTTTTTTTCTTCTTCAGATAATTGGGTAAGTGGTTAATTGGAGATAAGAGTCTCATGAACTTTCTTGCTAGAGCTGGCTTCAAACCAGGATCCTCAGATTTCAGCCTCCTGAATAGATGAGTTTATAGGCAAGAGCCACTAGTGCTGTGCTCAGCCCTCCTTTTGTTAATTTCTTTGGAGATAAAGCCTGAGGGGCTTTTCTGCCCAGGCTGGCCTTGAACCTTGATTTTTCAGATATCTCTGAGTAGCTAGATTATAGGTATGAGCCACCCAAGTCAGGCTTGAGCTGGTTATTTTTGAGATAGGGTATTCCTTCCTGAGTGCATACCTAGACTGTAATCTGCCCATTTTCTTGTTTGAGCTAGAATGACAGACATGTACAACCATGCCCAGAGTCTTTCCATTAAAATGCAGTCTTAGGCTGGGAAGGTGGCTCAGTGGTAGAGTGCTTGCTTTGCAAGCATGAGGCCCTGGGTTCTATTCCTCAGCACCAGATAAGCAGAAAAAGCCAGAAGTGGCACTGTGGCTCAAGTGGTAGAGTGCTAGCCTTGAGTTGAAGAGCCCAGGGACAGTGCCCAGGCCCAGAGTTCAAGCCCCATGACCGGCCAAAAAAAAAAACAAAAGGGATATGATTCATTTACTGAGGCATTGATTTAGAGAAGTATGTTGTATATTCATTTTAATACACTACAGTGCTATATATATAGCTTACAGATTTTCTGAAAACCTCTAAGGATTCAAGAATTGTGCTTCTGTCTCATTGGCACTTACAAAAACATAGTAGCGGTAGCATTGAGTTTTGTTTCTGCTGCATTCTGCCGCACAGGAAGGCAGACAACATGGCCACTGTCTTCATGGTGATGTGCTCTTGTTCTGCTGTTGGATAGGCTTTGGGTGTACATGTGCGCCCAGTTACATTAATGTTCTTAGCATTTCAGCTGGAATTGGATGCAAGGCACGACAAATATGAGAGACTTGTGAAACTAAGCCGGGATATAACTGTTGAAAGTAAAAGGACAATTTTTCTCCTCCATAGGATTACCAGGTGAGTGAACACCTTTACAATGTTTTATAGCTTGATATAGTTCTTATAGTTTTTATGTTTTCATACTTTAAGGGATAGTAATTGGCTGGTAGAATATGTTTTAACTGTATAAATATTGACATAAGAGGATATTAGTTACCAGGCTCTGGTGACTCACGCCTGTAATCCTAGCTACTGAGGAGGCTGAGATCTGAGGATCCCGGTTCAAAGCCAGCCCAGGCATGAAAAGTCCGTGAGACTCTTATCTCCGATAAACTACTCAGAAAACTGGAAGTGGCACTGTGGCTCAAGTGGTAGAGGGCAAGCCTTGAGCTGAAGAGTTGAGGGACAGTGCCCAGGCCCAGAGTTCAAGCCCCACGACCACCCTCCCTCCCTGGGTCCGGTTGTGGGGCCTGAACTCTGGGCCTGGGCGCTGTCCTTCAGCTCTTCAGCTCAAGGCTAGCACTCTACCACTTGAGCCACAGC